CGTGAGCTGCTGGAAGGAAGGAGGCAACGACTGGAGGCGCCGGGACAACCTGACAGGGGCTGGGGACTGCGGCCTGTTGGGAATGAGGCGACAGGAAGAAATGCGAGCAGAGAAGCATCTGACGGCGGTGCTGGGAGGGAAGCAGGAAGCTGCGATTGCATGAAACTACAGTGCAGGCGTATGGAAGGGACAGCAGGGAGTCCGAGACTGCAGGTAAAATGGAGTGGAGGCACCTAGATGGGGAAACCGGAAACTGTGACTGCAGAGGATACCATAATGGAGGCGTCTGGAGGGGGCAGCAAGGGTTGTGACTGCAGAGAAGCTGCAGTGCAGGCGGCTGGAAGGGGGAAGCAGAGCTGGGACTGCAGAGAAGCCGCTGTGGAGGTGCCAGGAAGGGCAGTAAGGAGCTGGCCGGCCGATAGAAAAGGTGGTTGGGACAAAGTCGAGCTGCTGGCGGACGGGAAGTGATCGAAAAGATGAAGATAATCACCACCTCGGACAGAGTTACAACCGAAGCACCTTCCTCGTCGTCGGATACAACGCTCAAAGAAAAAATGATCAACCAGTACTGAAATAAGATCTTAAAAATCAACTCCCTAACTCTAAACACAACAGCTCCTATTTATTAAAGAGATTTAACCCAATTAGAAAACATTAAATTAAGAAAGAGCATAAAATTAGATCTCATATTTAAAAAAGAGAATCAAATCAGATTTGAGACTTTTAGGAAATGTTTTTAAAATAGGAGAAGAAATAAAATCAGAACTCAATATTTTAGGAAGGTTTTAGAATTAAGAAAGGCCTAGGATAGGAGAAAGGAAAGGAAGAAAAAGGCAGTAGGATGGGAGAAAAAAATGAAAAATAAGTAGAAGGAGAGGGTGGTGGGCCCCCTCCAAGAGGTCGGCCTAGTACCCCCCAGGACCCCCACGTCAGTCTCCCGAAGTCGGGGGAGCTTCGACCTCAGTTGTCAAAGCTTTTGGATCCTCAAAGTACGGAGTAAGATCGACAATGTTGAAGGTGGCTGAAATTCTTAGTCTCCTAGTTAGCCAACCTTGTATGTATTGTCATTGAGTTTTTACAGAATTCTGAAAGATCCATCTGCTCTAGGTTTCAGTTTTTCGAAAGCTCCTATGAAGAATCTCCTTTTTCAACCAGATCCAAATGAAATAGCCTTCTTTGATGTTTTCTGTTTTGTCTCGTAATCTCTTTGCCAACTTCTTCATGTATTTGTTGGATTTCATGAAACCGTTCTGTAGCAACTTGGCTGAGTTTTGATGGTGTTAGGAGTGGATCTAGATCAAGTGGTGAGAGTAACGCCTAATTTCATCGCCAGGTTTCATCCATATCTGGTGGTATCCGTTGCGTAAATTGGTCTTCGAGAACAAAGTGGCTCCATGTAACTGGTCCTCCAGAAGATCGTCCAGTCGAGTTATTGGGAATCGGTATTGATTGTGATTTTGTTGATGGCTCTGCTGTATATGCACATCCTCCATATTCCATCTTTCTTGGGTTCCATAAGGTCGGACACGACGCACAAACTTATACTTTCTCTAACTAGCCTTCTGGTGATGAGGTTTTGTACTTATTGTAGGAGTTCCTCATATTCTATTGGCCTTAGCTTGTATGCAGGTCGGTTTGGTAGGAAGGATCCCGATATAATATAACATGTTGAATGTCCCTTAGTGGTGGTAGTCCTTTTAGCAGATGTCTGTCATGACGTCCTGGAAGTCTTTTAATAGAGTTGTAGGCGTGCCAGTATTATGTTTTCTTCCTCGGACCCCTCAAGTAGGGCTAGGGCTAATGCCATCGGCGCTTCTCTAATTGATTGCATGAACATGGCTCTTGGAGCGATTGTTTCCTTGGTTGTTTACTCCTCTTACTTCTTTACTTGGTGGTAATATGATGTGTTTGCCACCTTTCTTGCATGAGTATGTGTTTTTAAACCCGTCATGTTGAGCTTTGCAGTCGTATCGCCAAGGTCATTCCAGTAGAATATGACGGTCCATGGGAACGACGTCACACCATACTTGTTCCTTTAATTGGTTGCCTATCGAGAACTCCCTATCGAGAACTCAACAAGAGAACTCAACAAGACATTGTTGATTCACGTGGATTTCATTCTCTTTTTCAGCCAAGTGAGGGAATATGATTGGGGATGTTTTTGCGTAGGTAATTCAAAATTTGCCACCATTAATATTGATATGAAACTTTCACAACTGTCATTGTCGATTATCAAGCTGCAAAATTTAACTTTAACTATACACTTTATGTGGAAGATACTGTGTCATAGCCATGACTGATCTCGTGTTGGTTTTGATTGTAAGTCTCGTTGTATGACTAATAAATCACCTTCATCCTCCGAGAGCTAATGTGATTCATTGGTATCTTCTTCTAGTTTCTCATCCTCGCTTTCCTCCATGACACCTTGGTTTTTAAAAGAGACAATTCGGTTTCTGAGAAAGCTGGAGGCAATGTGGTCAAAACCATGGCATCTAAAACACTTTTTGGCTGGCATTGACCCTGCAGAGCTACATTTTTCGAGTTTCTTGCTGCGTAGAACAGTTTTTGCATTCTTGAATGTTGTTTTCCCTGTTCCTGGCGTACCATTGTCGGTAGGTGTGGTTACTGTGGTTGGCTTGTATAAGGATTACTGTCGGAAGGAAGACTGCGATCTGGTCTGCTTTTGTTGCCCTTCAACTTTCAAAGCTAAGGTTTGTACGTTACTTAGCGAAAAATAAAGTTGTAATTGAACTACATTGCTAATGGTGGGCTTCAGGCCTCCGAGGTAGTGGGCGATGGTATGCTCCTCTTGTTCGATCAAGTCGCACTTGATTTATGAGTGATCATTCTTCTACTGGCATCTCTCTTTATTGTAAGTTGTGGAGCTTCAAAAACATATCTTGACGGTAGTGTGGTAGCAAGTTTTTTAGTAGTAGTGCATTCTTCATTTTGTCCCATTTCGTGATTTTGTCAGTCGTCCCTCATTCGTTGACGTTGCAGGTTGTCCCACCATAACAAGGCGTTTTTTTTCAGTTTAATAATTGCTAGCTTAACCCTCTTAACTTCAGGTATCTCCTTGTATTCAAAAGTTCATTCGACCGCGCGCAGTCAGTCAAGAAATTCATCTGAATCCATACAACCATCAAATTTAGAGAGATCTATTTTAACGCCGAAGTCGCGGTGGTCTCGGGGTTTCTTCTAATGGTCTCCTCTGGTATTGGATGTCAAAACGACATGGGTCGTATTTTTCGTCACTTCCATCTTCCTAATGGAACAGATTGAGATCGTCATCTCTATCTTCATGTTGACTTTCTAGGTCACAATCGAGGGTTACTCGCCTTGGGTTCCTTAATCTAGTTTTTTCAATTATTGTTGCAGACGGTGGATTTCACGCTATAGCGCCTCCCGAGTGAGGGTGGAAGGGAACAAGAGGAGAAGGGGTCAGCGATTCTATTGAGCAACACATGAATTATAATCCGACGACAATAGAGAAATTGATCCATCAGTACAAAGGTTTAATCAGTGTACCTTAAGTTCCTTGCTATGATTAGAGAGTGAGTGGGTCTCACTACAAAAAAGAAATAAATTAAACTGAGGCTTATGCCAATAAAACACATGAACCCCATGTTTATATAAACTTATGATTAATTATCAACCAAAATCTAATTAAAACAAATATGTTCTACCTCATGGAGGCTTACATTAAGCTTACATCAAAAAGGCTCGAGGTAAGCAAATAACTTTTCTTAGGCAATCAGACACTGATATGTGCAATTGGTTTGGTTCACAAACAAGCTACCTAAGGAAGGTAAACTCGAACCTACCTAGGCAGTAGGTTTAGTCAAAATGGATCTAGATGTACCTTATATATACATTTTTTTAAAGAATATTATATTGCAGATGACTTCTTTTTTTTATTAATACAACTCACTGCTTACCTTCTTTTGAAGGTAAGTTCAAAGATTGAGCACACACTTCAAAAAACTGCATTGAAACAAGTATTTCAAATTCCGGAAAAAAACTAAGTGTCACCATTTCTTGCCAAAACAACTAAGGCCCTAAGGTGTTGTCAAGTGAACTGCAAGTTTAAGCTAAGTCAAGGTGCATGAAATTTAGTGATGTGCAATACCAAATAGGATCCATGTAGCCAGATCCACTTAGTGGATAAAGGCTTGTTGTTGTTGTTGTTGTACATGTTGACATCCTAAGATTCGTTCAAAGAAGTAGCATCTTTTACATTTAACTGTGTGAAACACCTCACCATATGCCCAGTCAACAATTTTAGCTAAAATTTTCATTAACGAATTTCAAGTCAAACAGTTCAACAAAAGCAGTTTTCCAGAATTCTTTTACTTCTCATTTGAAATTTATCCAAACTTCAGACAACATCAATAGGACAAAACAGGCCTACAAATACTTGGTAGGTTGACTCTGGATTTTAGACAAAGCAAAATCCAACTCAAAAATTGTATCCAGCAACATGACCGGATGACTAAAAAGCAAGGAAGCAAACCGATATGAAATACCAACGTGAAATTGGCTTAAGCAACTTGAGGTTAAGGTTCTTGGTCTTAGGCCTTATTTCTTGATTGTGAGAAAGAATTAAGCAATACATCGAGCAATGACAACATATTGATTATTGAACTTTCTTATTAGAGGCAAGTAAGGAACAGAAATGGTTCCTTACATACTTTTATGCAACCAAAAGCAAAATAGAAATAAATCCCCAAACAATAGTTTCATCATCTGACAGGAGACATTTAAATCCATAATTCTAAAGTAACCCCAAGAACATGCCAGATAAAATATAAGAACATTTTGAGCATTCACCCTCCGGAACATAGCTAGGTTGATGGGATAATATAAAAAGTTAATGCAAATACAAATAAAAATACAATAACTATAAGGAAAAGAAAACAACTAGCCCAATTTTTTGGTCTTGAAATGCATAAGACTCAATGATTGAATCAGAAGTATCGTACGAATTGGAGGTTACTTACATCCACAGGCTGGTTTCTCTTCAAAGCCGTCATGTCCAACAATCATGCAGCAGAAAGAACCAAGTCAGAAAAAATCTTTTGATAAAGTACAATGAAGAATTATGTAAATTTATAATACAAAGAATGCATAAGCAGTCGTCAGTTGTCGCTGCATATATCAAAGAGCTATATATTTCTCAATTTTCTTCATGAAATAGAGATGTTACTATTAGCGTCTCTTCAATAGCTAAATGCATTATTTTACAGTATGAATCTCATGGAAACACTTTTTAAAATAGCAAATACAATTCAAGCCATCATCGGGACATAGAAAAGTTTCTAATTGAAAAATGACCACTTCTAAGTAGCTAAAACAAGTAATTGTTTCCCTTTTTTTGTTTCTAAAGAAGAAGTTCCTTTAGAAAACCTTGGGCAGATGTAGAAGAATGGTATAAGTATATTATGGAACACCACAATCTACATGCTTTTAAGCCTGCCTTATTTTATTAATCCATGACATTGCTCATTATTATGCTTCTTACAATGAGTTCTTTGATTTTGTATTTAACATAATCCCAAAGCTTTGCAGTCAATACAGGTCGATAGCAAGTGATAGTGGTAAGAGGAGGATATGAGGCATAAATTACATTTATTTGCTAACAGTAGAAAATAAGGCAAACGAGATGACGTACTAATGATAAAGTAAAATATCTCCCACAATTTCAGCACTTTTTGTCTAAGTAGCTCATACAAGATTACTTCAGAACCTTTTTAAGAAAAAATATAAAGTAAAAAATAACCCTCTTCTGATTCTTCGCCTGCATATTTTCTGTCCGGACTTGTTTATCTCATCACACCCCCATAATTTACACTTTTTTGCTTCAGCTTCATCTCTGGCTTTTTTCTGTTTCACATCCCAGATGCAGTGTGTCCAGCCAATTCTTTCATTTCAGATCTTAAGAATAAGATAACTATGGGTAAACAATTTATGAGTTCCTTTTTTTGATCTGGTTGTTATGGGTAGGGTTGTAAAAGAGCCGAGCTTGAGCGAGCTCAGGATTAGATCGTGTTTGGCTGGTTCGAAATTACTCGTGTTCGAAATCGGCTCGTGTTTGAAATTGGCTCGTGAATAGTGTGTTCATGTTCGGCTCAATTTAAATATTATTGTTCGTGTTCAACTTGTGTTCGGCTTAAAATTGACTCGTTAAAATTAATTGAAAAAATAGATCGAGGGTGTTGGATTCGAACCTACGCCAACTCTATGCAATATATATAATATAAATTTAAACTTAGACATAAATATACATATATATATATATATAATATATTATTAAATAATATATTTAATTTTTTTATTCCGAACTAAAACGAGCTGAACACGAGCAAACAAAGGGTTGTTCCTGTTCGGCTCGTTTTTAATTCGAGTTTAAAAGATTTGTTCGTATTCGACTCATTTACTTAACAAACAAACCGAAGACGAGCTACTTAACGAACCAAATACGAGTTATTTGCAAACAATGAGCTTTTTTGACAGCCCTAGTTATGGGATAGATTGAAAGTATGAAGGCCTTAAATGAAATCATACTTGGTGGCTTGGGAATAATCACCATGCATGGTTGGCGCTGGCAATGGATAGCAAATGTATGGTTGGTCAGCATAGTCATGACAAGAGATTGAGGATACTCAACATAGGCATTCTTATAAATGAAGGGTAGCCATGCAAACATTAAGTTTAAGCTTTTCATAATAGAATGATACTGTATTGAGATATGCAAATCAACATTTTTAGCCTTTATTATTTTATTTTTTTCATTTCATAGTTTTAAAATTTTTTATTAGTTTATTTTGGTGTAAATATGCTAATGATGATGATATCTATAGAGACCAGGCTGTGTTCTATAATGTTAATGCTGATGTAGAATGATTCAATGCTGGTTTGTTGATTATCTAAGCATATTTGATTCGTTGTTAGTTTTAATTTTTGGATTTGTATTTTGCTACCTATGGTTGGTTGTCCTTGAAGTTGTTCCCAGAAACTAATTGAAAAGGTGGCTGTTTCCGGGATTTGCTAAAATTTTGACTTACGGTTCTAACATTATGGTTGATTCAGAAGTTTAGGAAACTGTTACTTTCGGTCATGACACTGAACTGATTTTGAGATTTGTAAGCCTTGATTTTTGCTTTTGGTACTTCAGCAAATACCTTTAGGCATTTTGAGATTATAAATACAGTATATACGAAGAATGTAAGGAAAAATATAGCTTAAATAAATTTCTACCTATTTCTCAAGCTTGGGGGTTGATTGGATATAAAGTCTTAAAATCCAATACAAGTCTCGATTAAAATTTCTAGGTAAAGCCGTCTCCTTGTACTAAAATGAGACCTATATCCTCTTATAGTGTGAATCTGATGCGGGAGCTGAACCAGCAGGACCGCAATCCACAGGATCGCAGAACCACAGCGATCACGGTGAACATTCCGCATGGCATGTATTCCTGGAATTAAGTCAACATATTTTTATTTTTTTCTGTTTCTTTGCTGATATCCTATTTTCTAATTAAGTTATTTCGTATTAAAAGATTTTTATACATACTATGTGATGGTTGTTTGGATTTGAGGTTTGGATTTTATGAAATTGGATAGCCTTTTTCCAGATTTCTGCTATTCGGAATTCTATATTATACCATTTTGCTGCTCACCCGCTGTTTTCCGCCGGACGGCCACCGAAACCTCTACTAACTACTGTTTACAGCAGGAAATTGAAGTCCACTAGCATCCAATTTGCTGCCCAACAGCCATGCATGCCAAATTTCACCGGCAGGAAATTGAAGTCCACAAGCATCCAATTTGCTGCCCAACATCCATGCATGCCAAATTTCACCCGCCCCCTATCCTCCCACTCCCGTCACCAATACTACAACTTCCCTAATGCCCTTTTGTGTTCTATCATTGTAATAAACTGTTCTTTTATAATGAAAATAATTTACCTATACCAACGTCGTTAGAGGATAAGTGTCACTTGAGTGAAGTCAAACAATGATTTATCCCCTCATTTTGTTTCAAACCGAACAAAAGAGAGGAAACGAGTGAAACTTAGAAAAGGAGGAGGAGAAGACGAGGAGAACTTGCGTGTGACGAACAAAGACGAGGGATGAGACATCGTCAACCAAGCAAAGGTGACAAAGCAGCTTCAACGCTTGGAGGCAACGTGAACACGCCATTCTATAGAGGGTGGTGGCATGACCACGCCATCCTATAGAGGGTGGTGGCATGACCACACTAGTTTCTAACATGACCATGTAGATGTCTCGGAAACCTGTTTTGGCAAGAATTTTTCTTGTCAAATTCGAGGATTTAGCTCAAATTCAAGGATTTAGCTATATAAATGCACCATTAGGGCATCTAAAGAGAAGGAGATCTAAACACAGCTAGAGAGCAGAAGTGGGGGTTTGGAGAGCTTCTTCATTAGGTTTTCTTTTCCTCTCTTGAGGGTTGAGTTCCTAAGGGCTTTTTTTTCCTATTATATTGTATTTTCTTAGATGATTTGAGAGATTATTGTATTGGAGAAGAATTTATTGTTGTGGAAGACGGACAAATTTATTTTCAAGTTTTTACCTTTCAGTGTTACTAATGATTTTGATGGAAAGTTTTTTAGTTTTCTTTCTGTCATGCAGAGCTAAATTTCCTTTCGAGCCTATATGATTCATAGGATGTGATTTTCATGGTTTGTTGAATGATTTCTTTCCCTGTATTATTTTCCTGAGAAATGAGGGCTTAAATTGTTGTGTTAACCATAAAATTTAATTTACTCCCGATCTGGTCATATAGGATGTAGCATATTTCGTGATCTGTGACTCGTGCTCGTTACACAGAGGAACAAAATGGTTAACCACAAAATCCGAATAAGAATAAGCATATTCTATTCGGGTTTTGCAGCCTAAAAATGGGATCCAAACAAATCTATAGGATGCCATAGAGATTAAGAAAGTCTCAACTTCATGGATTCTAGCCTTCATTTGACCTAGCATAAGTATAAAGAGGACTTTCTATCCCTGCTAACAACTATCACGTAGGAGAAAGTCTATGAAGACCATGATTCACCACAATATCTAAATCACAAGGGCATGAGCCTCATATCCCTTGAAAAACCGTAAGTTTTCTCTACCGTTGTTTTCTGATTTTCACCAGCCTCGCTATCTTTTGTTTTTGCTTTTGAATAGGATTTTAGAAAGTCAGTTCTTGTGTGTGATCAAGTTAAACTAGATTTAGATGTTTAGTAAACTAAAGATTCACCCATCATAATAATTCTTAGCCCTTTTCTTGTGGGATTGATATGCGATATTCTTTAATTACATTATTATTTGACACGTATACTTGTGTGATTCACCCGACTTGCTTCATCGTAACATTTCGTGCCGTCAAGTTTTTGGCGTCATTGTCGGGAAAGGGAGCTAAAAAGAAGTCTAATTTAGGAGAACTATAGTTGATCTATTGAGAATCTAGGTTTAACAATTTTTGTTTTCTTTTTTTGTGTATCTCATATTTATTTGCACTTGTATTGTTGTTTTGTTTTCTTTTAGGTGCTAAAAATAAAAAGCTGAAAAAAATAAAAAAGCCAAAAAGAAAAAATTATTGTTGAGTTTGTTTTGTTCTTTCTTTTTGCTATGTGTTGTTTGTTTTGTATGTGAGAATATTGACTCACTCGCGTGGGTTGGCGTGATTGTTTGCTTGTGGGAGTCTATTGAGTCTTCTTCTTTTGTATGCATACAGGAGTTGTGTCTGACCTTGCCCATTTTGACCCTGAGATTGATCGCAATTATAGACATCTTAGGAAAGCACAACTGTACACCAACACACCTATAAAAATGGCTAAACCTCAGGTTCCCATCACAAAACTCCTTAGGGATTACACCAACCCATCAGTAGAAGAGATCCATCTTAACATCAATAAACCTACTGTTGAAGCTAACACTTTCGAATTGGGACCTGTTATAATTCAAATAGTCCAAAACAGTCCATTTGGGGGTACACCATCTGAGGACCTGAAAC